AGAACTTGTATCACTTGCCTCTGACTCCAGAGTCTGTGTGCTTGACAGCATCACAGGCAGGGCTGGATATGAGCCGCCTCTTGCTCCAGCCTCCTCTCCTTGTAAATTCATGGCTGTTATTTCGTTTTCACACCCACACTCCTTAGCATCCCAACAGAGGAATTCCCAAGCTGAGGAGGATGTCCCAGTGGCTCCTGGCTCAGGGAGTACCTGCCTGACCGCCTGGGGGAGGGAGACCTGGCTGAGGAGGGGCAGGAAAGGGGGAAGGGCAGCCATGCCTGTCAACTGGGGCAGAATGGGACAGTGTCAGGGCCTGGCCCTCTCCTGCTTCATCCTCTCTGTTTATCCTCTTATCTCTCTATCCTCCCACCCCCCAGGTCCAGCTCTTGGGAAATGGCCTTATTATGTCAATCATTCACATCTTAGTATAAAATTTCCCCACCAGGTTACTTCCCCAAGTGAGCCATCTGACTGTGGAATAAAAAGCCCTGTCTATAGTGAAACGGGTTTCGAGGTGCCGGGTGGGGGTCCAGGTGGGGGTGGGCACAGAGGGGCATCAGCCCACCCTCTCCACGCAGAGCCCCCCCCTCCTGCCAGGTTGTCTGCCTGGACAGTGTGGCTGCACTTCCACCTGCTCGGGTTACCGGGGAACAAGGCCAGAAGGTGGGGCCTGAAACCCAATCATGCTCCAGCCCTGGCTCCAAGGGTCCAGACCCCAGGGAGCTCGACGGAGATAGGAAGTTAAAAATAGATGCACCGCTTCCCCGTTGGCGTGGGCAGCTTCTTCCTTGCCCTCACACAAGGGGGCCACAGAGGCTGAGGCCAGGTGGGGACTGCCCAGGGACCTCTGAACCAGCCCAGGCCCAGCATCCTCTGGAATCCCTGACAATCAGGTGGGGGACAGGAGGGGTCCGGGATACTTAGAGCCATCAGGGCTGTCTTTCCTATACTAGGACTTAGACACCATGGGACCCTTGCTGACAGCCAGCGAGCCCTGGTGTCAAGGCGATGGATCACCTTTGTCCTCCTTCCTCCCAAAGAGCTGATCCCAGGCATCCAGGATGGGGCCAACAAGAGGCAGGGGCCCACCGTGGGGGCACTCTCTGGGCAGAGCTCCCCTCTAGGGCCTGAGGGGACATGTCCCATGGATGCAGGACATTCAGAGGCCCCCACAGGCCTGGCAGGAGGAGAGCTGCAGGCAGGGCCAGTTGTGAAATTTGTGGAGTCTAGTGCGAAATAAAAATGCAAGGCTCTTTATTCAAAATTTATTAAGAATTTTGGGCTGGGTGCAGTGGCTCATGCCTGTAATCCCAGCACTTTGGGAGGCCAAGGAAGGTGGATCACCTGAAGTCAGGAGTTCGAGACCAGCCTGGCCAACATGGTAAAACCCCGTCTCTACTAAAAATACAAAATTAGCCGGGTGTGGTGGCATATGCCTGTGATCCCAGCTACTCGGGAGGCTGAGGCAGGAGAATCACTTGAACCCAGGAAGTGGAGGTTGCAGAGGGCTGAGATTGCACCATTGCACTCCAGCCTGGGCAACAAAAGCAAAACTCTGTTTCAAAAAAAAAAAATTGGCCGGGTGCGGTGGCTCAAGCTTGTAACCCCAGCACTTTGGGAGGCCGAGACGGGTGGATCACGAGGTCGGGAGATCAAGACTATCCTGGCTAACACGGTGAAACCCTGTCTCTACTAAAAAATACAAAAAACTAGCCGGGCGAGGTGGCGGGCGCCTGTAGTCCCAGCTACTCAGGAGGCTGAGGCAGGAGAATGGCGTGAACCCGGGAGGCGGAGCTTGCAGTGAGCTGAGATCCGGCCACTGCACTCCAGCCTGGGTGACAGAGAGACTCCGTCTCAAAAAAAAAAAAAAAAAATTAGCCGGTGTGGTGGCCCACGCCTGTAGTCCCAGCTACTCAGGAGGCTGAGGCAGGAGAATCGCTTGAACCTGGGAGGTGGAGGTTGCAGTGAGCCTAGATTGCACCACTGCATGCCTGGGCGACAGAGCAAGACTGTCTCAAAAAAAAAAAAAAAAAAATTTATTAAGAATTTCTACTTGGGGCCGGGCACAGTGGCTGACACCTGTAATCCCAGCACTTTGAGAGGCTGAGGTGGGCGGATCACCTGAGGTCAGGAGTTCCAGACCAGACTAGCCAACATGGTGAAACCTAGTCTCTACTAAAAATACAAAAATTAGGCCAGGTGTGGTGGCTCACGTCTATAATCCCAGCATTTTGGGAGGCCAAGGCAGGTGGATCACCTGAGGTCAGGAGTTCAAGACCAGCCTGACCAATACGGTAGAAGCCTGTCTCTGCGTGCACCTGTAATCCCAGCTACTCAGGAGTCTGAGACAGGAGAATTGCTTGAACCCAGGAGGCGGAGGTTGTAGTGAGCCGAGATCATGCCACTGCACTCCAGCCTGGGCAACAGAGCGGGACTCTGTCTCAAAAGAAAAAAAAATACAAAAATTAGCCAGGCATGGTGGTGTGTAGTCCTCCAGCTACTCAGGAGGCTGAGGCAGGAGAATCACTTGAACCTGGGAGGCAGAGGTTGCAGTGAGCCAAGATTGCGCCATTGCACTCCAGCCTGGGCGACAGAGAGAAACTATCTCAAGAAAAAAAAAAAAAAAAATTTGAGAGACTGGGGTGGGAGGATCGCTTGAATCAAGAAGGTCAAGGCTGTAGCGAATTGCACCACTGCACTACAACCTGGGCGACAGAGTGAGACCCACAAAAAAAACTTTCTAGAGCACAACGGCAGAGCATTCAATTACCGTACAGAGCGCAGGCTGCCTGCTCTTGAAGCTGCCCTTGGCTACAGGGTCTGCAGACCCTACCCCTCCTTCCAGACCACACAGGGGTCCCTATAGTGCTTCAGTGGACCAGCCTCACTCTGGGGCACACAGCTTGGAGAGGGTCAGCTGGGCTGGATGGCCCCCTAGCCAGGTAATCTGCACAGCTGACCTTCCCAGCCTTGATTACAGACCCCTACAAGAAAGTGAGGGCCTCTGATAAAGCCCAGAACAGGGCCTGAGTAGGTGCTCCATGAATATCTGCTGCGTGAACCGGGATTCCTAAGGTGCTTTCAGCTGGGACACTCCAGCATCTTAACCCTGGGGTCCTGGCACCCATGGGAAGGGAGGCCCCAGGGAAAGGTTAGTGAGCTGGGTAGGCTGACCTCGGCAGGGTGGAGGTGAGGTCCTATCCCAGCAGCAAACGCCCCTGGGAAACAGCTTAGGGAGCACACACAGGAGGGACCTGGCCTGGTCTGGGGATCGAGGGTCCTCCCCCAGAACCTAGCAGTAAGTCAATGCCTGCAGGTGATTCAGCAGGAACTGGAGGAGTGGGGCGGGAACTGCAGGAGGAGGGCACGTGTGTGCTGAGGCCCTGAGGCTGGGAGGGGAGAGAGGCAAGCTGCTGGGGCCAGGTCCCAGGGGCCTCTAGGCCAGGAGGGCACTGGGTTTATTCTAAGCAGTATGGGAATCTGCAGGGTTTCAAGTCGGGGAAGAGCATGGTGGGATTTGGTTGTTGACTGACTCACTGACCTACTGGGTTCTGCACTCTGCTCTGGCTGGGGACCCCCACCCGTCCACCCCACTGGCTCAGACAGACAGAGGTTTGGCCCCCTCAGGATATCGGAAAACTGCCCCAGTCCCCAGTCCTGCCCACTCGTAAACGGTTCCCTGAGGGCTTGCACAGTGCCTGGCATGAGGCCCTGGAGCCAGGGGACAGCAGGCCTGAGCTTATCAGGCTGTGGCCTCCGGGAGCAGAAACAACCTTCCGCCCAGGGACTTAGTACCTAAAGCGGGAGGTGACACAGGACGGGGCAGCAGGCAGGGCCTGGTCCAGCCAGCAACCCCGGGAACTCGGCCATAGGGTCAGTGCTGCCCCCCAGGCCCATCTGTGCCAAGCCTGCTCCCTCATCTGATAACCCCCCACGGCACCGGCCACGTTGGTTGCTGGCCCTGCCTCCCTCGTGGTTCCTTCCCGACAGCCCCAGGAACAGGGCGCACCCACAATTCCCACTGTTCAGATGAAGACAACAAGGCTGGTGAGGTGAGGTCACTTGCCCCAGGTCACAGAGCCAGAAGAGGTGGCCCCATTGCCTAGTCTTTCAGACAGGAAGAACATTCCTTCCCAACCCCGCCCTTAGGAGACGCAACCCTGCGCCAGTTTTGCTCTGTGACCTTGGGTCAGTGGCTCCACCTATCTGAGCCTCTGGTTTCTTGGTTTTTCTTTTTTGGTGTTTTTGTGGGTTTTTTTGAGATGGCATCTTGCTCTGTCACCCAGGCTGGAGTGCGGTGGTGCGATCTTGGTTCACTGCAACCTCTGCCTCCCAGGTTCAAGTGATCCTCCCACCTCAGCTTTCCAAGTAGCTGGGATTACAGGCACGTGCCACCACACCCAACTAATTTTTGCATTTTTAGTAGAAACGGGGCTTCACCATATTGGCCAGGGTGGTCTCAAACTTCTGACCTCAAGTGATCCGCCCGCCTCGGACTCCCAAAGTGCCGGGGTTACAGGCATGAGCCACCGCACCCAACCTGATTTTTTGGTTTTTCAAAAAAATGTTTGTAGAGATGGGGTTGTGCTATGTTCCCCAGGCTGGTCTCAAGTTCCTGAGCTCAAGTGATCCTCCTGCCTCCGCCTCCCAAAGTGCTGGGACTATAGGCGTGAGTCACTGTGCCTAGCCAGAGCCTCAGTTTTTTTTTATCTGCCAAGTGGACCTGCTAAGCTCATGCAGATCAACTTCTGGAGCATTTGAAATGATAACCATTCAGGTCTCAAGGAAATGATAGGTTTATCCCAACACCAAGATACTCTCTTTCTCTCAATCTCTCTCTCTTTCTCTCTCTCTCTCTCTCTCTCAATCTCTCTCTCTCTCTGCAAGCCAGCCTGAGAGTGAGCCTTCGGGTCTCTGGCAGCAGGAGGAGGATGTCCCTGCCCTTGCCCATTAACAAGCCCCGCCCCTGCACCCCGACACAGGACACGGGCGGAACTTACGCAATCCTCCGGCTCTGTGCGCTGCTGAAGCCTGCGAAGGAGGCGCTCCGGCCCACGAGCCCCACAGCCCCTGTGTCCCCAGGGGACAGGAACCGCAACCTCACTGACATGGCGGTCACCTGCAAGGAGAGGACAGGAGAGTCAGCCTGGCACCATCATCCGGCGAGTGCTGTCCGCAGGTCAGCCACCTTCCACCACCACCTACAGACCTCACGATGGCCCCAGAGTGTTGTGGGGGCTGGTACTGTGCCCGGCTTACAGGTCAGCAAGCTGAGGTCCCATAAGGGTAGAGGACCTGATGGGGGACAGTGATGGGAACAGAATTCGAACCCAGGTGTCTGTACTCTGCACTCTGTGCTCAGGTACCCTAATGCCGGGCAATGCTGCCTCCCAGAGCAGGAGGACGGCACCTCCTGAACACAGCCCTCTCACCCCCACAGACACTCCTCTCCCTCCTCCAGCCCTCCCTGAGCACCTAACACAGGTGAACTCTGCAAGGCAGGCCAAGTCCCCCCATCCTCAAGGGCCGAACAGTCATGATACAGAGTCTGTGTTGGAGTGATGGGGGTCCCCAGAGGGCATCTGACCCAGCTGTGAAGAGGCGCCCAAGAGCTGAGGAGGAAGGCTGGGGTGGGGTGAAGGGGAAGGGTGTCCAAGGCCGAGGGAACAGCCTGAGCAAAGGCCAGGACGCATGAGGGGCCTTGGTGTCATCCAGAAGCAGCAAGAAGCTCAGGGGGCTAAAGATGAGGTCAGAGAGGCCGGCAGGGCTCGGGTCCCGAGGGGCCTTGGTAGCCCCAAGGAGGGGCTTGGCCTTACAATGGGGCAAGGGTGACTGGGAGCCATGGGAGGGCTTTGAGAAGCCGGTGGAAAAGCCCAATTCACAGGAAGCCAAGCTGCTGGCGTCAAAGCTGCTTCCACCCCGATCCATTGCCCCGGCTCCAACCCGCCCTGCAATGGGGTCAACCCTGAGCCCTGGCCATCTTCTCTTTTTTCCAAACCATCTCTAGATTGGGAAAATGCCACCCTATCCCTTGGGAATGTAGGTCAGCATCTTCTAGCACGGGCAACTGGAAAGTTCTCCTTCATATCTAACCTAAATCTCAGCTGCTATGGTTTCATACTTTGCTCCTTTGCCAGGGTGGTGTCAATCCAAGGATTCCAGGGACCCCACTGCCCAGACAAAACCTATGAAAAAGCTCCAGTCCACCTAGGCCCTCATCTTCCTGCACGATGAGACCCCCATGTTCCAACATCTCTTTCCCCCAGGGGCCAAGTCCACCCTGCCACACCTCTGCTCACTTGGGGGCCTCTGCCTGTAAAAACTTCCTCTATCGAGCCACATCTGCGCAGCATCTACTAGTGCATCTCCTGGCAGATCTGTGCAGCCTCCACAGGCCTCCTCCCATATATCCCCCACCCCACAGCCCCACATGTGCTGGACACAGGAAAGCTTGGCAACAAAGAAAGTGGATCTGGGTTCAAATCCCAGCTGTGCCACTCAGGCTCTGGGCCTCAGTGATCACAACAGTAAAATGGGAATTCAGAAAGGACCTCCCATGGAGACTGCTGGAAGGACCAAGGAGGGCACGTCCTGAGAGCCCACAGCGTGCAAGAGACACGTCAGGAGGGCTGGCTCTCTCTGTGCAATTGGCTAAGACCCCAGCCCTGCAGGCGAGCCAGGTGAGCCAGATGAGCCAGGTGACTCAGGGAGAGCCAAGTGAGAAGTGAGCGGCTTCTAGCCCTGATGGAGGAAGGTAGCAAGCATTTGCTGACCACTCGCTGTGTGGCAAGCCTGGTGCCCCATGAGTGGCTACGAATCCATGAACAGCTATGAACCCATGACTAGCAGCGTTGTGTACAGATGGGGAAGTTGAGGCATCATTCATCAAATGCTCATTACTCATTACTAAGCTGGCCCTGCACTAAATGCTTTATGTAAATTATGAAATCCACACAACCCTCTTAAGAGCAGGAGCTTTTGATGACCTAATTCCATAGATGAGGAAACTGAGGCTCAGAGAAGTGATGAGACTAGCCCAGGGGCCCCAGCAGGGCACCTGAGCACTGGGTTTAGAACCCGAGGATGCCCGATGTCAGAGCTTGTCTTACCTGTGGTCAGGAGTGCCTTGCACTGGGGCCTTGCAACTGCCCCCCATAAAGAGATCCCCCACAGTCCCCTCCTGTGCTGTGCTGTGCTGTGCTGAGCCAGCTTGTACCAGCTCACAAGAGTCAACTGGGCCAGGCACAGTGGCTCACACCTGTAATCCTAGCACTTTGGGAGGCCAAAGCAAGCAGATTTCCTGTGCTCAGGAGTTCAAGACCAGCCTGGGCTACATGGTGAAACTTCGTCTACTAAAATACAAAAAATTAGCTGGGGGTGGTGGCAGGCACCTGTAGTCCCAGCTACTCAGGAGACTGAGGCAGGAGAATCGCTTGAACTTGGGAGGTGGAGGTTGCAGTGAGCTGAGGTCATGCCACTGCACTCCAGCCTGGGTAACAGAACAAGACTCTAACTCAAAAAACAAAACAAACAAACAAAAAACAAAAAAGAGTCCATTGTTAAATGTTCAGGAATTTTGTGAGCCTGTTGACATCATGTTGGTGGTTTGAAATCAGCCACAGTAAGAGTATTTACACCACAGAAAGTGGCAAGTTCTACAAGTTAGAGTTTCTGTCTGCTGCTTGTTAAACATTTAGGAGCTCCTCACTGCTATTGCCCCTATCAGCACCTATGCAGGGCCTGAGAAGCTGCTCAAACTGCTTGATCCCCCCAGCCAAGCCAGGCAAGAGAATAAGGACGGAGTAGGGAGCGATTCCCCAAGGTGTGTAGTTGGGACGTGCTCTGGAGTCAGCCTGAGGACTGGAGCTGAAAGGGGTCTCCCCAGCCCTTCCCTCTGCACCTCCCCATCAGAGGCCTTCTGGGCCATTCCTGGAGCTTCACCTCAGTCACTCCACTTCAAGGTCAGAAAGAAGGACAATTGCCAAGCAGTTCCTCCCCATGCAATGCTCAAAACAAGCCCCAGGTCCTTCTGCTCAGTGTGAGAGAGAGGAGGACAAAGGAGGGAAACTAAGGCTCGGAGCAGACCTGCAGAACCTGACAGCAGACTCATCACTCACAGCACTATGAGGTTCAGTGGCCCCATTTTTCTTATGAGGAAAGAAAGGCTCTGAGAGGTGAGAGGCAACTCAGGGACACACATATTTCTTTCTTTATTTCCTTTTCTTTCTTTCTTTCTTTTTTTTTTTTCAGACAGGGTCTGGCTCTGTTGCCCAGACTGGAGTGCACTGGCATGATCTCAGCTCACTGCAACCTCCACCTGCTGGGCTCAAGCCATCCTCCCACGTCAGTCTTTCAAGTAGCTGGGACTACAGGCACACCACACCCAGCTAATTTTTGTATTTATTGTAGAGACAGTTTCGCCATGTTGTCCAGGCTGTTCTTGAACTCCTGAGCTCAAGCGATCCACCCACCTCAACTCCCCAAAGTGCTGGGATTATAGCCATGAGCCACCATGCCTGACCAGGACACACATTTTTCAAACTGAAGTCTGGCTCTTCCTTCTTCCACGTGCCATCGCCACATGGATTGGCTTCCTGGCTAAACCCTCCTCATCTTTCAGCCCACGTGTCCCCTCCCCCAGGAAGCCTTCCTGGACACCTCCCCACTCCTAGCTGTGGCTGGTGTTTCCTCTGGACGCCCCTGACTTCCTCTGTTAGAGTGGACTGTGAATGGTGACTTGTCTATCTCCCCATCCTAGACAGGGAGCTCCCTGTGGGCAGGGAGCAGGTGCATGGAAGATTGATAACACATCTTTATTGAACCAGAAAACAATGAAGGAAAGGTTGACGCTGCTTCCCCTACTTTACCAGGCTGTGCAACCCGAGAGGAGGGTGCTGGAATAGTAACAGTAATAATAATAATAATAACCACTATGTGCTGGACTCTAAGGCAAAGATGAACAAATGTTTTCTGTAAAAAGCCAGACAGAAAGGCTGGGCGCAGTGGCTCACACCTTTAATCCCAGTACTTTGGGAGGCTGAGGTGGGTGGATCACCTGAGGTCAAGAATTCGAGATCAGCCTGGCCAACATGGTGAAACTCTACTAAAAACACAAAAACTAGCTGTGCGTGGTGGCACACGCCTGTAGTCCCAGCTACTCTGGAGGCTGAGGCAGGAGAATCGCTTGAATCCGGGAGACAGAGGTTGCAGTGAGCCAAGATAAAGCCACTGCACTCCAGCCTGGACAACAGAGCAAGACTCCATCTCAAAAACAAACAAAAAGCCACATAGTACATATTTTTGGTTTTTCAGGCCATACAGTTTTTGTCACAACTACTCAGTTCTAGCATTTTAGAGCAAAACCAGCTGCAGACATTATGTAAATGAATTATGTCATGGCTGTGTTTCAGTAAAACTTTATTTACAAAAGCTGCAGCAGCTGTTGAGGATGATGGGTGGCCCTGCCTCTGACCCTTGGGTAGCTAGCACTGCTTGCTACCTGCTCTAAGGACTTAAAATTGTCATTTCATTCTCCAACACCATATGAGACAAGTACTATTATTATCCCCCATTTTGCAGATAAGGAAACCGAGGCTTATGCCAGGCATGGCGACTCATGCCTGTAATTCCAGCACTTTGAGAGGCTGAGGTGGGCGGATCACTGGAGCCCCGGAGTTCCAGACCAGCCTGGGTCTCCTAATGAGAGCTGGTCCCTACAAAAAATACAAAAATTACCCAGGTGTGGTGGCGTGCACCTGTAGTCCCAGCTACTGCGGGAGGCTGAGGTGGGAGGATCACTGGAGACTTCCCGGCAAGTCGAGGCTGCAGTGAGCTGAGACTGCACCACTGCACTCCAGCCTGGCTGACAGAGTGAGACCCTGTCTCAAAAGAAAGAAAGGAAGGAAGAAAAGAAGGAAAAGAAAAAGGAAAGGAAGAAAAGAAGGAAACCGAGGCTCAGAGAGGACAGAAATGAGTCCTCCGAGGTCACACAGGTAGGAAGTGCCAGAGCTGGAAGTGGACCTGGGCGCGTGGACTCCAAAGCCTGGCCTCAGGACTAGGCTGCGCTTGCTCCCGGAGCTCTGCTGAGGACACGCCCCGCTCCCAGGAGCCAGACCTCCT